ATTCGTGCTTATCTAATAGCAAGAGCAGGGTCGTATTTGCAAACCTTCTCGCATTCCTGTGATCCTGACAGCAGCTCGTCGTCCTTCAATTTTAGGAGAAAAGTCTGGTAGACAGTGCGATCTTCGGAAGCCTACAGATCTGTATCAGGATCACAGAAACGCGAGGAGGTTTGCAAATACGACTATGCTCTTGCTATTAGATAAGCACGAATATCAAATCCATGGCATCGACACCTCTTGCCGTTTCTGCGATCCTGATACAGATCTGTAGGCTTTCGAAAATCGCACTATCTACCAGACTTTTGTCGTGAAGTTGGTGGACGAGGAGTTGTTATCAGGATCACAGAAACGCGAGGAGGTTTGCAAATACGACCCTGCTCTTGCTATTAGATAAGCACGAATATCAAATCCATGGCAACGATACCTCTTGCCGTTTCTACGATCCTGAGACAGATCTATACGCATCCGAAAATCGCACTATCTACCGAACCTTTCTCGTAAGATTGGTGGACGACGAGCTGCTATCAGGATCACAGAATCGCGAGGAGGTTTGTAAATACGACTCTGCTCTTGCTATTAGATAAACACGAATATCAAATCGGTAACGTAGGGTAACCGTCTGGCCAGTAGCAAACGGTTGATGCGTTGAAGCGCCGCTCACTAGATGGCGCGAGAAGTACGGTGGGTGAGCTTAACATCTAATATCAAGAGCAGAGTCGTATTTGCAAACATCCTCGCATTCCTGTGATCCTGATAGCAGCTCGACGTCCACCAATTTACGAGAAAAGTCTGATAGACAGTGCGATCTTCGGAAGCCTACAGATCTGTATCAGGATCGCAGAAACGGCAAGAGGTATCGATGCCTTGGATTTGATATTCGTGCTTATCTAATAGCAAGAGCAGAGTCGTATTTGCAAACCTCCTCGCGTTTCTGTGATCCTGATAACAACTCCTCGTCCACCAATTTACGAGAAAAGTCTGATAGACAGTGCGATCTTCGGAAGCCTACAGATCTGTATCAGGATCGCAAAACGGCAAGAGGTATCGATGCCTTGGATTTGATATTCGTGCTTATCTAATAGCAAGAGCAGAGTCGTATTTGCAAACCTCCTCGCGTTTCTGTGATCCTGATAACAACTCCTCGTCCACCAACTTCACGACAAAAGTCTGGTAGACAGTGCGATCTTCGGAAGCCTACAGATCTGTATCAGGATCGCAGAACGGTAAGAGGTATCGATGCCTTGGATTTGATATTCGTGCTTATTTAATAGCAAGAGCAGAGTCGTATTTGCAAACCTCCTCGCGTTTCTGTGATCCTGATAAAACTCCTCGTCCACCAATTTTAGGAGAAAAGTCTGGTAGACAGTGCGATATTCGGAAGCCTACAGATCTGTATCAGGATCGCAGAAACGGCAAGTGGTATCGATGCCCTAGGTTTGAATTTTGTGCTTATCTCATAACAGGAGCAGAGTGCCATTCTCATACCTCCTCGGGTTTCTGTGATCCTGGTAACAACTCGTCGTCCACTAACTTTACGACAAAAGGCTGGTAGACAGTGTGATTTTCGGATGCTTATAGATCTGTATCAGGATCGCATGAACGGCAAGAGGTATCGATGCCATAGATTCGAATTTCGTGCTTATCTCATAGTAGGAGCAGGGTGGTATCGGCAAACCTCCTCGCGTTTCTGTGATCCTGATTGCAGCTCGTCGTCCACCAATTTTACGAGAATAGTCTGGTAGATTGTGCGATCTTCGAAAGCCTACAGATCTGTATCAGGATCGCAGAAACGGCAAGTGGTATCAATGCCATAGATTTGAATTTTGTGCTTATCTCATAGCAGGAGCAGAGTGCCATTCTCATACCTCCTCGCGTTTCTGTGATCCTGATAACAACTCGTCGTCCACTAACTTTACGACAAAAGGCTGGTAGACAGTGTGATTTTCGGATGCTTATAGATCTGTATCAGGATCGCATGAACGGCAAGGGGTATCGATGCCATAGATTCGAATTTCGTGCTTATCTCATAGTAGGAGCAGGGTGGTATCGGCAAACCTCCTCGCGTTTCTGTGATCCTGATTGCAGCTCGTCGTCCACCAATTTTACGAGAAAAGTCTGGTAGATAGTGCGATCTTCGGAAGCCTACAGATCTGTATCAGGATCGCAGAAACGGCAAGTGGTATCGAAGCCATAGATTTGAATTTTGTGCTTATCTCATAGCAGGAGCAGAGCCATTCTCATACCTCCTCGCGTTTCTGTGATCCTGATAACAACTCGTCGTCCACTAACTTTACGACAAAAGGCTGGTAGACAGTGTGATTTTCGGATGCTTATAGATCTGTATCAGGATCGCATGAACGGCAAGGGTATCGATGCCATAGATTCGAATTTCGTGCTTATCTCATAGTAGGAGCAGGGTGGTATCGGCAAACCTCCTCGCGTCTGTGATCCTGATTGCAGCTCGTCGTCCACCAATTTTACGAGAAAAGTCTGGTAGGCAGTGCGATTTTCGAAAGCCTGTAGATCTGTATCAGGATCGCAGAAACGGCAAGAGGTATCGATGCCATGGATTTGATATTCGTGCTTATCTAATAGCAAGAGCAGGGTCGTATTTGCAAACCTCCTCGCATTCCTGTGATCCTGACAGCAGCTCGTCGTCCACCAATTTTAGGAGAAAAGTCTGGTAGACAGTGCGATCTTCGGAAGCCTACAGATCTGTATCAGGATCGCAGAAACGCGAGGAGGTTTGCAAATACGACTATGCTCTTGCTATTAGATAAGCACGAATATCAAATCCATGGCATCGATACCTCTTGCCGTTTCTGCGATCCTGATACAGATCTGTAGGCTTTCGAAAATCGCACTGTCTACCAGACTTTTGTCGTGAAGTTGGTGGACGAAGTTGTTATCAGGATCACAGAAACGCGAGGAGGTTTGCAAATACGACCCTGCTCTTGCTATTAGATAAGCACGAATATCAAATCCATGGCAACGATACCTCTTGCCGTTCTACGATCCTGAGACAGATCTATACGCATCCGAAAATCGCACTGTCTACCGAACCTTCTCGTAAGATTGGTGGACGACGAGCTGCTATCAGGATCACAGAATCGCGAGGAGGTTTGTAAATACGACTCTGCTCTTGCTATTAGATAAACACGAATACAAATCGGTAACGTAGGGTAACCGTCTGGCCAGTAGCAAACGGTTGATGCGTTGAAGCGCCGCTCACTAGATGGCGTGAGAAGTACGGTGGGTGAGCTTAACATCTAATATCAAGAGCAGAGTCGTATTTGCAAACATCCTCGCATTCCTGTGATCCTGATAGCAGCTCGTCGTCCACCTATTTTAGGAGAAAAGTCTGGTAGACAGTGCGATCTTCGGAAGCCTACAGATCTGTATCAGGATCGCAGAAACGGCAAGTGGTATCGATGCCATAGGTTTGAATTTGTGCTTATCTCATAACAGGAGCAGAGTGCCATTCTCATACCTCCTCGCGTTTCTGTGATCCTGATAACACTCGTCGTCCACTAACTTTACGACAAAAGGCTGGTAGACAGTGTGATTTTCGGATGCTTATAGATCTGTATCAGGATCGCATGAACGGCAAGAGTATCGATGCCATAGATTCGAATTTCGTGCTTATCTCATAGTAGGAGCAGGGTGGTATCGGCAAACCTCCTCGCGTTTCTGTGATCCTGATTGCAGCTCGTCGTCCACCAATTTTACGAGAATAGTCTGGTAGATTGTGCGATCTTCGGAAGCCTACAGATCTGTATCAGGATCGCAGAAACGGCAAGAGGTATCGATGCCATGGATTTGATATTCGTGTTTATCTATTAGCAAGAGCAGAGTCGTATTTACAAACCTCCTCGCGTTTCTGTGATCCTGATAGCAGCTCGTCGTCCATCAATTTACGAGGAAGGTTCGGTAGACAGTGCGATTTTCGGATGCGTGTAGATCTGTATCAGGATCGCAGAAACGGCAAGAGGTATCGATGCCATGGATTTAATATTCGTGTTTATCTAACAGCAAGAGCAGAGTCGTATTTACAAACCTCCTCGCGTTTCTGTGATCCTGATAGCAGCTCGTCGTCCACCAATTTTACGAGAAAAGTCTGATAGACAGTGCGATCTTCGGAGGCCTACAGATCTGTATCAGGATCGCAGAAACGGCAAGAGGTATCGATGCCTTGGATTTGATATTCGTGCTTATCTAATAGCAAGAGCATAGTCGTATTTGCAACCTCCTCGCGTTTCTGTGATCCTGATAACAACTCCTCGTCCACCAACTTCACGACAAAAGTCTGGTAGGCAGTGCGATTTTCGAAAGCCTGTAGATCTGTATCAGGATCGCAGAACGGCAAGAGGTATCGATGCCATGGATTTGATATTCGTGCTTATCTAATAGCAAGAGCAGAGTCGTATTTGCAATCCTCCTCGCATTGCTGTGATCCTGATAGCAGCTCGTCGTCCACCAATTTTAGGAGAAAAGAAAAGA